CTACAGACCTCCTCCCTACCATCAGCCCGTAAAGTATGAGGATCGAGGCACCTCCCACGAAGGCCCGTAAAGATATTATCATCAACTTCAGGGATAGTAAGATGCACATCGTCATCAGCCGCGATCTGCTTGGCTCGACTAGTCACATCATAAGGCACATACTGGTCCATCATCCTATACACGCACATCTTTATCATCATACCACCAACACCTTCCATCTTACACGACAGTATCAGCCACATGGAAGTAGTCTCCCGACCCACCAATGACCATAACCGTACTTACTCCCACTCGATCGCTCAACGTCCTATTAAAATATACGTTTGCTTTCCCCAGTTCACTCCAGGAGTTTCCTCGCTCATCATACAAATTCGGCTAGGAGTTTACAATATATCATAGTTTTCATATTCTCACCAACACATGTAGTTGAGCATGTGCATATCCCCCCACACTGCCTCTCACAATGACCATAGCTACTACCTGACTCGCCACAGGAAGGGCGTGATAGGCTCCTTATCGGCCGAGACTAGTTGCTGCATCCGACCGTCCCTTATCATGAAGTTGGTCGCACCTGAGTTCTCGAAAACTGATTTCGGGTCTCCCAAACTTCCTCTCACTCGTATCCTCATCAATAAGGAAGGTCGATGCACCAACCTCCAACGCCTCCATTATATTAGCTGCTTGACTGGTACTCCCTACCATCCAACAAGCCGTCGTTGAAACTACCGCGCGCCACGAAATTCCTACCACTAGCATCTTCTGTTGAGAACTGCGTCGTGTCACGACCCAGAGGCAAGTTGGAGATAAACGGGCTGATATCTAAGGCAAACTCCAAGGCTCAAAACGGCATCACCATATAGACGATTTGCAAAGGGAGAGAACATACACATATCTTAACACGGAATGTCAATGCAGATTTCCATAACCCACTCTGAATTCCGCACCACTCGAAACGATGTCAACGATAAACGTGCGTCAATTTTTCCATGTGATAACGATTATTCAATCAGCCAAGACGGAATATTTCACCCACGATTAAACCTCAGAAAGGTATAGCCTCTCCCTTATACTACCAACCGTATTAATATATCGTCCATCCTCAGCCCTTATCTTCATCGCTTTCGAGTCCGTCACCACAAACTCCCGACCATCACCCGGTATATGGTTGTAGACGCCCAACTGCAATGCCTCCAGCAACGTACCTTCCAAAGACCTCTCCCCCATCCCCCTCAACAACCCCCCCTACTCTTTCCATGAAAACCGCCTCC